GAACAGTTTTATAAAGGACACATTTTGGTCCAAGTTCAGTCTAATTGTTAATGTTACAATCGATCAGAAAGACTCCGGTGAGCTCAAAAGCAGGATAATATAAACTGTTATATCTTAAGTAGGATTTTTCTGAAACAATTTCATTGGATGTACTTACAAAAATCCCACAAGGAGAACTTGGATAGGTGCATTAAGCCATGGCATTTTCTGAATTTCAAAAAAGAAAAAAAATGTTAGTCAGTATTCAACAAAATCAATACATTAATATTGCTGAAAACCTCAAGACATAAAAGTCCTTCAACTGTTACATACATTTTTGATTTTTTTTAAAAACATTATATAAACCTTTAAAAGTTGACAATGTCCTGTAGGTGACAGCTAAATGTAAAACGTCTGATTGAACATAATCAAAATCACTCTTCTTATAAGATCAAACTAAAACAGGTTAAATAAATCAGTGTTTGGATAACATCTCTACCTTCATAAAACTTTTCTTGTCCAAATGATTCATTATAAAGGGTGGGATCACTGAAATTACAAATTTGTATACAAATTACTGGCATTGATTTACACGACAGGCACATTATTTTACTCAGTTAAAGGAGGTCAAACTGAAGTGAAAATACAGGTAGATCCTTCAAAATTTTCATACATCAAATATTATGATTGTTAAGAAGAAAATGTTTAAACATGCACTGCTATTTAGTTTCAATAACATTTTGGTGTAATATGGAGATACCAAACAGTAATCAAGCGTTAAAGTCCATTGGAACAATACAAATTTGTGAGCAGAGCAAATACAGACCTCTAACATCAGAGATGGGATCAGGTGTCATATTGAGGAGTAAGCAAAACTTTCACTTAAGTCAATTTAATAAGCTATGAGAGTATGTTCCTATTAAAGCTGGGGCAATAAATCTGCATTTTATTATACAGACTGCAGGAGAAAGGATATAACTTACTCATTCCTGGAGTTGCCATCAAAATTCTGGACACCACAACTTGAGATATAGCACTTCTGGCAGCCATTGTGGATTCTCCAAGCCGGTTGCCATTTTGGTCAAATATTGGAATACCATTCATAAGTTCCCTACCAATAATTCAATCAATCATGTAGATTACAGAAAATCTTCAGTCTTGCTCCTTACTTAGTAAAAGTCAACACCTCATATTAAAATGATAGCAGACTAATTTGACCAAGACAATTCTGCCTTCCTAAGGAGTGAATTCTTTTGACCCTCGATCTATAGAAGTAATAATCATATACAAGATGTATACAGGAAAAATTAACTGAATTTATAATTTATAATGATTAAAATAAACTGTAGCAACTGATGAGAGTCATTAAGCCACCATAACAAAAAAAAATATAAAAGCTTCACTCTTTCACACGTATGTAAATGTTTTCATGAAACATCCCAATAGTGTTACCTAGTACATAGGTTAACATTAATAAAATCATTCTTAACTGTCAAAGTTATGTAGACAAACTAAATACAAAGACCCAATTAATCCCCTGATGATTTCTTTTCTGATGTTTTCCACTAAAATTTTTTTCACTCATTTAGCTAACATACCTGCTTCTCATACAAGGAATGTTGATACAATTGGCTGCAGCCACAGCTGTGAATGGCACAAATCGACCAATCAGAGGTGGGAATTTCTAAGAATAGAAATGAAACAGTCTGAAACACTTAATAAACTTGTTTTGAATCTAATTTTTTTTATCTTAAATGTTCACCTGGAATATTTTTTCAGGAACTATACAAGAAGTTTGGATTTTTTATACATTTAAATATGATCTATATTTTACAAATAGCCTGAATTTGTTTCTTTTAAAATTTGTTCTTTTTTTTTATTTTCCTTTGCATCTAACTTTTATCTTAATATTCCACTTTATATAACCCCCTACTGGTGACATTATCACAAGAATTACCTTGACCATGTTGTTAATGGTAAGGGCCGTTCCAACTGCTCCCGTGGTAGCCAAAACATAGGACATACCAAGATGTCTGAAATGCAGAATACAACTTTTACTCAATTAAGTTTTTATATAATTTTTTTTTGGTTGTCAAAAAGTGGATAAAAAAGTATAACAAAGTATAAAATGTAATCTAATTTGATAGACACTGATTATAATATGAACCAAAATCCCTTTATCAGCCGTAAAAACTGTTTTCATTCTTTCTTAACATTTAACCAGTGATCTGATTTAAAGAGAGAAGGAGGAGTAAAGGGAGACAATTTCCTCCATTCAACAGAAAGGTAAACAGCTTCTAGATATTTTTCTTTAAAAAAATTGTTCCCATTAAATACCTTTGCTAAATTTTTAAAGACTATTAATTAAGAAGTACCTTAAATTATCAATAAAATTTTGTGAGGCTGGATCTGACAGGTAAACAGATGGACAGGTGTATACAGATAAACAGCTAGACTTTTAAAAAGACAAATAGACAAACACAGACAGCTACAAGGACACAAACAGCCAGCCAGACAGGTAGCTAGACAGACAGTCATACAGACAGGCCTAGTCATTAATAAAGAGCAGCTACATCAAATAAATACATATACCGGGTACATCTTAATTATATACTCACTTGACAGGTATTGGATGGTCCCCACTCCTGTTGGTGTAGTTCACAACTGCATTAAATGTCTGATTAAACCACTGCCAAAACACTACAGCTGGGGTCGTTCTATTAAAACATATAGACCATAAAAACAACTGTCACTTAAACACAGTGAACTTTAAGATAATGTAGATATTAACAATGCAGAAAGAATTCTCTGAAATTTGTATGCAAAATATGTAATTCCCATTTGTTGTACCATTTTAGAACTAAAATTTGAAGGTTACATTGATAACAATTATATCTAAATTTCATATAAATTATTGTTCATAAACAAACGAAGGGGGTGGTGGTACTAACTTGTAAAAAGTCATCATGCATCCTGTAATAGTCATGTTCATTGGTACTTGAGCAGACATTCTACCAATCAGCATCATCTTCTCATGAGTGTCTGGGTGGAAAGCTGAATCATAAAGCTGTTTGGCCTTCCACAATTCATCTTCAGTTAAACCAGGGATTTCTTCTTTTCTCCTGTATACAATCACAATACAGCTAGGTGTTTGTAGAAATATAATTCATAAAAACCTATTTCACTGCAATAAATACATACAAATGGGGTTTGGCACAAGTACCTAAATTAGGTAATGACTGAGAATGTAGTTATGGCTCAGAATGAATGGCAAATGTAGTCTGAGATTTTTTTTACTTGATTAAAACCCTCTGTTGCATCATTAAAACAGTCTACCCACCTGTATCTCTCTACAATGTCTTTGGCATGATCAAGCTGTGCTTCTGTTGCCAGTATATTCAGGGGGTTAGTGGTGAGGAAGAAATGCTTGGCTCGTCCTATAAATGTGTTCTGGTCATACCTTGGGTGTTCTATATCTATGTTTGTTCTTAGTGCCATACTACAATGACAAAAAGGAAAAAACTGCAATAGAAAAATGGAAATGTCAGAGAACAACAAAATTACCAATTTGCATTTTATTCAAATTAATACCTGAGTTCTCCTGAAGTCTTTGATCCAGCCTGGTACACCATTACATTTTGGTCATAAATAAATTAGCATTATCTGATAGCTTTTAAAAGTAAGCATAATTTTCAAGAATATTTTTTCTTTATTTCTTTAAAACCTGCCTACAATACATTTTAATATTTAGGCACCCCTTCGAAGAGGGAAGGGCATATCACTTTGCTGCTATCTGTCTGTCTGTCTGTCTGTCAATCCACCATCAGTTTCTGTTCATTTTCTTAGCAGAGATTGCACATACAGAAATGAAATTTGGTATACAGAATTATCATAAGAATATATAAGTCAAGTTCCCTTTAGGTATGATTGGGCCATTTAGGATAGAGTTATGCCCCTTGGACTTAGAAAAACTCCAATTATTTAAAGGAGAGGGCATGTAAGTGTTTTACAAAGTTAACATCTCTTTTTTGTCTTATATCATTAATGTACATTGAAATACTAACTGTTAATAAAGTACTTGATCATGCATTTATATGATTTCTCCATTACTAATTGTTTCCCTTCAGTACATGTATGAAAAGCAATATGTAAAACCCTGTCTTGTTGGAACACACATTTGCTTCTTTAAAGACTTTTTTCACTTGCATAATTCAAACTTTTTTTCTCTTTCACATTTTTTTGTTTACTTATTCTCACATAACAAGCACATGTTCAATGACACCAGATATAAAATCAAGCACTATACATCATGATAAATTTAATACATAGTGACTGTCATGCAACATTTAAAAAATTTAAATGAATAAATCTTATTAATAATTGTAATAGTTGTGTGATCATCTCATCTTGTGGCTTAATTATTCACTTACTTCAAAACCTGACAAAAACTCAATGCTTTACTCCCCCCCCCCCTCCCCTTACCATGATCACATGATGATCACACAATACCATCATGCAAGCATGGTCAATCACTTACAAGTTTATTTTGTTTCACAGAACGTCATCAATACAAATATAAATTTTTGCTATGACTGTCAAGAAAAAATAAGAACCAACATTACATAACTTCATTTAAAGATCACACATATATGTTTCTTAAGTTCCAACCAGCTGTTGACAACAAGCCCAGGTAGCACAAAACATTTTCAAAACATTTTATTGGTGTTGTAAAAAGGTTTTTTCGAAACATTTCAGACTAAACATTTTAAAAACATTTTTAAAACATTTCCTCTTCTCTTTATAACATTTTAAAAACATTTTTAAAATGTTTTCAAGAAGCCTATGATTAAATCCTTTTGGAACATTTTTCTAAAATATTTTTGAAACGTTTTAAAAATGTTTCAAAAGGTATGTTTAGCTTTCAAATATCAAAGATTTTTATATTACGTTTTGAAAACGTTCTAAAAACATGATATGAAACATTCCTTTTCCATAAATCTGAAACATTGCATGAATACGTTTCTGAAACATTTGGAAGGAACGTTGACAAAATGTTTTTGAAACATTCTTAATTCATTTAAGGAACATTTTTCTTAAAATTATTCAAAGGGTATGTATAGCTTCCAAATATTAAAGATCTTATAAAACGATTTAAAAACGTTCTTAAAACAATGAATGAAACATTCTTTTTCTGTAAAACGGAAAGTTGCCTATACGTTTCTGAAAAAATTGTAAGGAACATTTTTAAAATATTTTCAAAACATTCTTAATATCGCTGTTAGTTATTAACATTAAATTCCGGATATTTTTCGGCCTAGGCAGTGAAAATGTTTATTTAAAACATTAAGTAAAATAATTATTTTCACTACAATTGAAACATTTTAATTATAGATTTTGTAACATTTCTTCGAAACATTTTCAAAATGTTTCTGAAACATTTATGTAATTGCGGCACAACTTAATTCATTTATTAACTTTAAGAGTATGTTGTGAGAATAAGTTTAGAACATTCAATTTAATGTGTTTTCCTTTTTTAAAGACTTCATTTTTCATTGCTGCAACATTTTTTAATGTTATTTTCAAAATGTTCTTAAAACATTCAAATAATGTATGATTGAGATTTTCCTAAAATTTAGTTTATGAAGAAAAAAAAAAGAATATATAGAAAGAATAGTGTTGAAATGAGGAATTGTAGTAATTTTTTAATTGAAAGATTTTTTTCCGGATTTTTATAATGATTTCTACTTTTGGCTTATTGATTAAACAGACATATATAAAGTCCTTTAATCAAAACAAATAAAAAAATCAATAAATGAAAGGATAGACAAACACAAAATTTAAAATATAAATAAATGTAAAAAAATCATTAGCATTTGATAAAACTCTTAATGTTTTTTTTAAAAAATGTTCTTCATCAAATCTGTGATCCACTCCCAGGATTTTACTCTGAGGCATTAGGTAGGGATTGGCACACTGGTCAGTTTCAGTGTCATGATAACCTATTATGCAATTTTCCTGCTGGGCAGCGCGTTACAGAGTATAGTGGATTGCAGCTTATCTAGGCCAAATTTTGAATTCTGGTAAACAATGTGCGCGCTTACTCCGTGCCGATTTGAATGAGAAGACTTTGCACCATAAAACCACAATAATAACCTCGGGATTTATTAACTTTGAATGGTAAGAATTATTCCTTTATCATAGACTAGTTTAAAAGATCATCTAAAAATGACTTTTATACTGCAGTGCACGATCAATAACTTTGTACAAATGTATGTAGCATTAAGTAATGACAAAGCGTTAAGGTTATACACATGTTTTTGATTTGAATATTTCATTCTTAAGTCAACACAATTATATCCTTGATTCAAGTATTCGTTGTCTTTGTGAAATGTTTTAAAATCATCAAACAATATGTTGATTTAAAAATGAAATTTCTTTACAGCATGGTGTTGATTGCATCATCCGTATTTTCAAATTCCCACATTCAAAAGACCCGCCTTTGGTGAAGGCATCGTCGGAAACCCACGGGTGATCTCGTCTTTACTTATCACCCGTGGGCAAACTCGCCGAAAAATCGTCGTATGTAATTAAATATGCATGGGTCATTTGATTGGCCGCATTACAGAATCGTGATGCGTAACAACGAATCACAGGTCACGTTACATATGCAAGTTCGGCATTGCCAAAAACATGAAAAACTCATTCCGTAATTAATACAGCTGATAAATCCACTCACCGGTGCATGCTGCAGTTAGAAAGAGGTACTCCTTCATAATATCTGACGGATATTAATGTCAGTGACCTGTACGAATTGATTTTCATTGTTTTACATCAAACTTCGCACGTTTTAACGAGCGTCAAAATATTTACCATAAATAGAAAAGTAATGAACGTATTTTTCCAAATTGAAGAGTTCCAACTTTCTGACTGGTTGACTAAAAACAACAAATTAGCATATTTTACGGCGATATTTCGACGAGTTTGCCCAAGGGTGATAAGTAAAGACGAGATCACCCGTGGGTTTCCGACGATGTGGTGAAGGCAAAGGTGTACGTAAATACCATTACTCTTCAATAATATTGTAATAGTAATTACTTTTCTGCTTTTTTCAATGCAAATGAGGAAAGAACTTAAATTTGATATAATTATTTAAAATATTTTTTGTATATTTTCATTGATCATCTTAAGATTATATGTAGCACGCTGACACAAACACAATTTTCCTTATCTTTACAGGTTGTGCTATTCTTTCCGAGGGGCGGATTCCTTATCAGCCTTTTCAGTGTATGTGATTCTAACTAAGTCTTATAGATCCGCCGCTCTGTTCGACCTATACTGTGAACATAGGATTTCTGTGATTCTGTTCTAAGTGTTCTTTTAAAATTCAGTGAATGGAGAAGCCGCTTTCACCCTTTAAAAACCCGGTGACTCGAAAGAAAATAAATTAAAACTTGTACCGAGAATGGAATTTAAATGTGATTAACATATTGAATATGGGTTTGTATTAAAGGTTCAAAAATTGAATATAATTTGTGTTTATTTCTTTTAAAATATAAAAATATCATTATTTAATGAGAAAGGTAAAATTTCAGTAAAAATACGTTTGTAACCTCGACATGAATGTTTTGAAAACGTTTTAAAAACCAAACAAATTAAACGTGAGAAAAGCACTTTTGAAAATGTTTTTGTTACATTTTATAACAATGTTATGATAACATTTGTTGAAATATTTTGTAAAATGTTTTAAAAACATTTAAAAAACCATACAAAATCACGTGATTATAACATTGTTCAAAAATGTTTTCGTAACATTTTAAGAATATGTTCCAGAAACATTTGCTGAAATATTTCACTAAAATGTTTTAAAAACGTTTAAAAAACCATACAAATTCACGTGATTAAAACATTGTTGAAAATGTTTTTGCAACATTTTAAGAAAATGTTCTGACAACATTTTGCTGAAATATTTCACTAAAATGTTTTAAAAACGTTTAAAAAACCATACAAAATCACGTGATTAAAACATTTTTAAAAATGTTTTCGCAACATTTTGAAAATGTTTTAAAAACGTTTTTAAAATGTTTTTGTGTTAGCTGGGAGGATATTCCTTTACAGCTGCATACACGTATTTACTAGGCCCATTTGTCTATGGTTTGTTCTCCAACAAAACCCAATTTCTCTGAATATATGTCCATAAAATTTAGTTCATGACAATATAAGGACAATCTAATTACGTGTCATACCATTTCCACTAAAATTACCTTTTTACAAGACTTGTAGCAATGCTTTCCTTTATTTTCACATTGACGGAGGTGTGTACAAAATCCAATGATGCAATTGGTTGATTTGGATCTGTGTTGTTTCGCCCCCAGAGCAGTTCAAATTCATGTTCGGCTTATACGTGGATCAGTCTACTTCTACATTAAGCTATTTATGGCGACCAAAAGCACTTATTATACAGTTTTCCTGAGTAACTTTATAAAACAATCGTACCTTTTTCAGATATAGCTCGTCGCAACATTAATAATTTTGTTCTGAGGGGTCTACTAAAACATCATACGAACGAAATAACATTCTCAGCATTAATAATCTCAGCAAGGATACGCTTGTCATTTACTCCAATTCCACGGTGTAGGGTGGTTTCGCGCCGATTACGTGTTCGCGCCGAGTGGTATCGCGCCGAGTGGTTTCGCCCCGTTTAATCTACAGGTAAGATACGGGTAGTATACAGAATGGCTTCCCCCGATTACCTGTCAGGTAGCTTAATTGTAATTAATCAACCCCAAGCGTTTATGTCGTGACATGTGGATAATTATCCCATTTTGTATTAATACTTTAAATGAAGCCATTATTAGTCAAATTATGACTATTTGAACAGATTTGATCGTCTAATTTGGAATAATTTAGGACTGGATATTAAAAAAATATGTATTTATTTCACAAATCGATATATATTTATTTCACAAATCGCGTTGATTTTTCAGTGAAGGCTGTCATTGTTTTTCAGTTGATTTACAGTATTGAATTATGTAGAACAAAGAAACTTTAAAGTCAATCAATCTTTGCATACAGACACATCAGTAATTAGAAAATAGAATAATATTCTTCATTATAAGCACTCATATAGATAGGAATTCTTTAAAACTTCAAAGCTAATATATTATGTACATGCGGGGCGAACCCACTCGGCGCGAACAAGTGATCGGTGCGAAACCACTCGGCGCGAACACGTAATCGGAGCGAAACCACCCGCATTCAATTCCACATATCGTTAAAAACGTATTAATGATTCAAACAAACTGAAAACATTCTAGGCATCAAAATGCAAACCGAAGGCGATCCCTTGTTGGCAAACGACGAAGTTTTGGAAAATGTTAGACGGAGGGTACAACATAAACTTGCTGGAAGATTTATGGATGCGATGGGAACAGGTATAACGAATGGGAATGGGACCCAAAAGTGTTTATGTAACATAAATCAGACACAAATGAAATTCACATAGATTACTAGACAGGGCAAAACGTTTGGTGAAATATGAGTAAGAAGATGACCAAAAAATGATTACAAATTGCTTAGACACCTGTAAATTTATTTTGTTAAAAATGGTAAGGTACTTAGTGCAGTTGTAATAGTTGAAACAAAATTTAATTCTTTGGGGAAAAGTTCTCTAACGTTAGCTGTTCAAATGTTATTTAATCTTTTTGTTTTACTTGAACCCAAGCAAAAAAAAAAATAATTCAAAAAAATATTGTATATCAGTTTTTAGCTCACCTGAGCTTTTCCAATCACCTGTCCCCCCCTTTCCATCTGTCTGTCTTTCTGTAAACTTTTCACATTTTCATCTTGTTCTGAAGAACCAAAGTTTTACAAAGTACTGTTGGGTGAAGGGGGATTTAAATTATTAAGATAAAAGTCAATGGTCCTTTCCAATGGGAGATAATCAAGGAAAAACAAAAATTGGGTGCCTCTGGAACCACTGGACTAGAAAAGGTTAAACTATGTGAAATCTTTCTGGGGTGGTGTAAATTATAAATAATGTATATCTTTGCCCCCCCCCCCCCCTTCCCCCAAGGGATAGGTTTGGGCCTCAATAGAGAATAAAAGTTTTATATTGAAATATACAGGAAAAATCTTGAAAAAAATTCTCAAGAAGGTGAAAATTAAATGGAAGCTTCCTGAGGTAGTCAGTGTAGATTTGTTAATATCTGATACATGTATATATATATATAAAAAAGAAAAAAAACAGCAACAGTGTTTGAGTTTTACTTTCATTATTTCTGTTGATTAGTTCTCATTCAGTTCATGTTTTTATTAGCACCTGATGCCTCTGAAGAGAATAAGACTGAGAAATCGTTACTGAGTCAAAACATGGATGAAGAAACAAGAAAGAAATTTGAGGACAGGTTTGGTAAATACAGAAGTAAGGACTCCCCATACAGTATTCAGAACATCCTGTGGTTGATATCCTCTATAGCTGTCTTCTACTACACAGACTTCTATATCGCATGCCGATACGATCAAAGAGTGAATAGGTGGGTTATTTAATAAGGATGTGAAATCAAGTCAGAACACATAGAAAGTTGATATATTGTTTGTACAGTTCAGTATTGAAATTTTCTCAAAGCTAATGCACCATCACATTTAAGATTGAGTACACAATTACTTATGAGCAGTAAATAACTTGAGAGAATTGAACCATGGTTCTTGGATCATGAACCTCATGTCTTAATTAAGTAGTTTGATATTTGACTTAAAATTTAAGATTGATCTGAAAGTGGATCACAAAAATTTTTATCACACGAGCCTGAAGCTTGTACATTCCATATTTTTTCTTTTAATAATATTTTTGACACATTTTAAAAAGTATTGTTATAGTAGGTATGTTTTTAAATGGAGCATAAATTTAGAAAAAAAAAGATTAATTCTTTAAAACTGACTCATGTTTTTTTTAGAATTGACTAGTCTAAGATAATAAAGTGTCAATATTTTATGTATCTGTAAGTTTTCCTGTTTGTTCAGGGTGTGGTTCAACGTCGGAGCCATCCTAATGCTGGTCAATCTCTCCATTGCCGCCTTCCTTATTGTGTACATAACATACATCAAGAAGGTCAGCACCGATCAGTGGGAGAACCTCTACCCAGCCGCTATCCCCATAGCTACAGGGTCATTTATACTCGGAGGAATTTGGTAAGTCTGGAAATTCAGGAACATTTTTATGCCATACATGATGTTGGTTTGGGGAAAGGATAGAGAATCTGCCTGTTCATGCACATTGATGTTTTGTCTAGAAATTGAAAAAAATACTATTCAACATATGCATCTGATATTTTCAGATTGATTTGTCAAATTCTTAAAAATGTTTAGATTTTAAAGATTATATTGTATTATATTTTATCTTTTTTGCTATATTATGTATTTCTTTAACAAGAAAATTCTTTTCTGGACATAACTTCAAAACAAAGAAACTTTAATAAGTACTTGTTCATGTTTTATACAAAAGTAGCTTTTATAATTATGTCTAAAAAATTAGCTCATTTAAGAAAACTCAAGGTCATTGTTGTTTTAACTTTGAAATGGAGAGAGCGGAATTTTACTTCAAAACCTTAGTTACAATGAATTGATTGATTAATATTCAATTTGAATTCTAATTTTGCAGTGTGACGGTGGGACTGTGGCCGATTTGGAGTATATTTACCCCTGTCATCCTGTTTACCCTTTTCATGGGTATGATTGTAACAATAGCAATGTTACCAAACTTCTAAAAGCTATACCCAGAAAGAGACTGATAGGACTTATGTGGACTTCAGAAGAGAAACTTGTCAGCAACTCAACTGTACAAGGTTTTTGTTTTATACCTTGCTCTGTACTTGATGCTGATCAAAGAAAAAGTTGTTGTTTGTGATAAATGTTATTTATTTTTAAAATAAGATGACACATATAATTAGTTTTTATTTATATGAAATGTACCAAGCAAAGGCATTATATTTCCATGTATAACAATGTACATATTTAATTCCCTTTCTCTATTTTATGTTGAATGGTTATTTTTATATCTCATCCTTAAAGTATGTGGTAGGTACATAAAGTTTTATCCATGTACATGTATGTTGTTTTGCATTTCTGAAATGCAACAAAAGTCCCTCTTCCTTATTGCTTTTTTGTAGATACTTAGCTTATTTTTATGCCTCCTTTCGAAGGAGGGAGGACATATTGCTTTGCTGCTGTCTGTTGGTCAGTTGGTCCGTCCGTCTGTCGGTCCATCATCAGTTTCCGTTCATTTACTTTGCAGAGGTTGCACATATTGAAATGAAAAAAATTGGTATACAGATTTATCATAGATTTATTATTAGAAAATATAGGTCAAGTTCTCTTTTCTACAGAATTATGGCCCTTGGACTTATTTGGGGGGAGGGCATAAGTGTTTTACAAACCTCTCTTGTTGTATAAGGTTTTATGATGATGTTGATTGAGTGACAGTTGGTTTGAGTTGTAACACTTAATGCTCAATTCAAAAAAAAAAATGTATAAGGTTTTATGATGATGTTGATTGAGTGACAGTTGGTTTGAGTTCTAACACTTAATGCTCAATTCAAAAAAAAAAAAAAAAAAGAGAGAAATTCCTGGAAACTGTTTAAGTGAAAGGTTGTACTACTAATTCAATTTTTATATTTTCCTCACTAATCACTAATGTTGAACCAAGTGCTTACTTTTAATTCAATTAATGATTTACTTTATAGAGAGTTAAAAAAAATTTTATTTTTGAATAAAAATATACTTAGTTGTATGATTTTGCCATAAGCTTGATACTGGATTTTTGAAGTAATGTATGTGTGTATGAAGGTAAATTATAGACATAGATTTTTTTTCTATGGTCTCCTCAAACAGGATTAAGACACTAGAATTTTGAACTAAAAGTTTTGCCTACAGCTTCCAATAGAAAAGTCATTTTGTACAAACTCATCTAGTTTTATTGCACCTACAGGTTTCTAAAATTGTTTTTTTTTATTAATGTTTCAGACTACATATATAAATATTGATAAAAACATTATTAAATAACATTATGTATATAATTTTGTATTGGTGTATATATCAATATCAGTGAATATGATTAATCATATTTGAACCACTCAAATGCATGTAATTCAGTCAGCAAAAATTTATTTTCTTTTAAACTGGGTCCCAATTGAAACTTGGTAAACTACTTAAGAGTAATATGTTATATTTTGCTAAATATTTTTTAACTGTAAATATTTTAATATACATGTACATGTAAGTCAGTACTTGAAATGTATATTGATGATATAAGAATGTCTCTTATGAAAATAGCCCTAACAAAAATACTTAAGACAATGGTACATGAAAAGTTTCAAAGTATTATTGTGAAATTTCAAACGATCTAGAATAAAATTTTAAAGTATTGTAGTATAAAAGTATGCAATAGATGAAACTAAATTTAAGATAGTAAATTTTTGTTAAGGCTAAGAAGAAGAAATTTTCTCATTTTTATCATCTCTCTTTCCATGTTCCCAGCATTATATATACATGTAGATACAAATTGTATTTATAGATAAACAAAGTCTATATGTATATTTTAATGTGGAATTATTGAAGTTAAACCTTACCAAGTAAGGTCCTTTTATTTTGTTTTATAATATACTACTTACAAGACATAGTTAATGGTAGTTGGTATTTCTTGAAAGTTGAATCATTAGATCTAACCCTTCCTCTGAAAAAATGAAAGGTATACATGAGTTATCATTATTCAAGATGTTTGCATTGCTACATCCTATCCTAACCATACATCTAACAATTTGTTAACATTGCTAGCTTTTTAACATAATTTTAGCTTCATAGTGCAAAAGTATTATATAAATAGCATATTTATATTACTTTTGGTCAAATTTCTGGCACTTTGAACAATTTTTCTGAACAAGACTTATACAGTATTTCACCATAAGGAAACATTGAACATGCAATTAATATTTTATATTTTATCAGGGTTACACATCAGTCCCACAGAGTATTTTATTTTTTCTGTGAATGTATGATTACAGTCTGTTATTTTTCAAAATCATCAAATTCTCTCAGCATCAAAATGCTAAAAATATTCAAAGCCTCACTTGATACTAGTGTGAAAGGTATGCTTCGATTTTTGGAAAGCTGAAATTTTATAATATTGGTAAATATGAGAACTTTTCTTTTTCCATACCTCAAGGATAAATTGGTTACATAATTTTGTGTTTCATAAAGTCCCAATTAACCCTTTTTTCAAGATTCCTCAACCTTTTTTCCTTGATTTTTTAATGTCTTTGTCTTGATGCCATATTTTATATAAATTGTAACATGTGTTTATCTCTTTAGATTTCCCTCTGCTCTTATTTACCAAAAATTCAGTGTTTCCCATGATGCTGTAAAGTTGCTATAAATAATGTAATAAATGTCAGTAGATGTTTCTGTCCTCCAATGTATCATTTGTGACACTGAGATAGCTAGGAATAATGTTAGATCTGTGACAATCATCAACAATTCTATATTGCAGGCTTAACAGTAAACTCTCCATGCTTAACATACATTTTTCACAAGAAAATATAGCACCAGTTTTATGCATTTTTCAGGTCGACATTATTTTATCTTACCAAAGAGAGAGATTAACATAAAAATTGTATTGTAGCCATAACTTAACCCGCCTTCTAGCTGACATATAAAATATATGGTATATAAAGGTACTGCAGTATTTTTCTAGGCAGGTTAGTGTGGACAAGGTGCTTTACTAGGAAAACCTAGATACAGCTAGATTTTAGAATGTGATAGACTTATCTAAAATTTCCACACTGTAGTTTATACCTGACTGTTACCATTAACAGTCAATTCAAGCAGTAGTTCATCGTCTGTGATATCCCTTGCTTAGAACAACAGGAAAAAGGCTTGTGTTGTCAAGTAGTGTAGACAAACTCTATTTTTTTGTGTGTACTATTTTTTGTACTTTGTCATAAATTATTTTAATAAATTCTTTCTATATGTATGATCTTTATTTTAATAAATTATTTGTGAAGTTAATTTAAATTGTTGTTGTCATTAGTCAATCAGCAAAGGTCAGTCTTTGCCTTATTACTTCCTGAAGGTACATACATCTTTAAAAGAACTCTAATTGAATTTTGTTGATTTGCATGAATCATTTATGCAGATTTTGTTGCTATGTATTTGGTTTCCATGGTAACAAATTGGAGACTTGAGAAAGCTACTTTGAATCTTAAGTACATGCTAAGTTGCTGTATGTTGTGAAAGAAAGATGCCCCCATATGGCAGGTCTTGGCCAAGGTTTATGTTTCTCAGAGTTCATCAAAAAGACTCTGAGGTCATCAAATTGCCCATCGTCCGATGATCTTGTCTTGTACTGTTTGTCAAATATGTTGGCATCTAAAGAAAGATGAACACACTTGTAAAATATGAGAGCCTTTCCAGCAATCCTTCAGAAACATTTGCAAGGTAAAAGTGGGTATAATTGCAATGTTGATAGGTAAAAAATATTGGTACTTAGAATATATGTCACAATGGTACGATTGAGGCTATCTAATGGATACACGTGAAATATGAAAGCCATAGGACCAAGCATTCAAAAGTTAATATAGTCAATTTAAAGTTGTTTTTATTATAAAGTAGCTCTTATTCCAAGATCAAAATTGTTGATACTCAAGGGAAAGTTCTTGTAACAAAGAATACACGTGAAATCCGAAAGATCTCTCAAGTTTTTAAAAGTAGCTCAAGCTCCAATATCAAATTGATGGAACCTGAGGAAAGTTCTTGTCACAATTACACATCAGGCACGTAGCATCGTTTTTGAAAGTGGGGGGGGGGCAGCCAGAGAGAATTTTTTTTTTTTTTTTACTTACCCGTTAAAGTTGATAAGCAAAAAAAAAAAATGAAAATAAAAATTAAAAGGAAATTGCCCAAACTCGATAATCCTATTTCGGGGGGTGGGGGGGGGGGGTGGGGTAGTAACCAACTTTTTTCAATTACCAACTCACTGTGGTAAGAAGGGGGGGGGAACCAACATTTCAATGAACATTTTCAATAGCAAAGGTAATGTTGGGAAAAACGGGGGGGCAGCCCCCCCCCCCCCGTGTTGCTACGTGCCTGCACATTACACAAATTAAATAAGAGAAGTGGCACCAACTGTTTAAAACTTATGGTCAATGTTGAAGTTTTTCAAAAGTAGACCAAACTCCAGGATCATGGTCAAAGAGTCAATATTATTGGAAACTAAGGGAAGATTTTCTCACAAGAAGTATTTTGAAATATGAAATATCTAGCTCCAACCAAGCATAACACCGATTCAGGTGTCAGATCCTCTTCCGTCGGCACACGTGGTTCCGGGTGGTGCCGGGTGGCAACTTTTTCTTACAGACAGCCAAAGTTATAAACTTTTTTCAACAGTGAATCAAACTTCAAGGTCTAGTGGTCAAAATGTGCCCCCCCCCCCCCCGCTTTAGATCTTGTCACAAAAATACACAGATAAACTTTGAATGCCATAGCTTTAGCTTCAGCCATTCAATAGGCATTGGTAAGCTTGAAGTTTTGCGGACAAAAAGACAAATTGACAACTCGACAGAGCAAAAACTACATTACCCTTCATCTTTGATCAGCGGAGCATAAAAAAAACGATGTTGAGAATGAAAGGTATAACTCAATCACCGACAGTAGAGAATTCGAAAAATAAAATTATCTAACTTTCTAAGTTTTTTTTTTTCTAGTAATAACTATGGTTGAGATTGTAACACATAAATTTCAATTAATAATAGGCCCACAGGGTACATGTACCATCTTAAAGGAAGTCATGAAAAATCACTACTACCTACATCTGTAAGACATTGTACCACAGTGTTGAGAAAATTTTAGAAATTTAATGCTGCTTTTATTAACAATGGAGACCCAATATATATTTCTACTACTTATATAATTATTCGATTACTTTTTATCAAAAAAGAGGTTATCTTAATCACCTAAATTATAAAACTAATGCAATAATACGATAAAATTTAATATCATGATATATTTAATAGTTAATATTTTTAAAAAGATGCCACATAATATGTAACTCGTTATTACTCATGTTTATTATAAATCCGAAAATGATATCTCATTGTTGAAATATTTCTTGTGTACCCTGAGGAAGAATGAATTTAGAACTCCTAAAATCAGCCAGTTACTAAAGTTCTGAAAAAGAAATCCAAAGAGGAGGAGTAAGCTCATACTCATAACCTGAAAGAGGAAAAGAAATCCGAAAGACTGAGCATAATATGAAAGAGGAAAAGAAGTCCGGAGAGAGGAGACTGCACAAAATCAGGACTTTTAAAAAGAAAAGAAATCTCTGAAGAGCTGGAGATTGCACATATTGAAGTTCTGAAAGAGGAAGAGAAACCCGATGGACAGGAAATTGTACATACTCAAGATCTGAAAGAGGAAAAAAATCTAAAAAGCTGGAGATTGCAAATACTCATGAACTGAAAGAGAAAAAAAATAA